GCCCAGCTCCTGCTGCAGGTGGAAGCCAAAGCTCCCGCCCTCCTCCTTGCTCAGCAGGCAGAAGCGGGGCCGCTCCGGGCAGAGCCAGACATCTGGGGGGCGGGGCAGCAGAGATGGGGAGGAGGGATGTGGCCCAAGTGCTAGTCACCTTGTGCCCAGCAGACGCTGCCCTCTGGGAGGGCACAGGTGGACTTGTACCCAGCTGAGTGTTGGGCAGCGGGGCCGGGACAGAAGGACATGCCTGGCCTCCTCTGTCCCCGTGGTTACTCCCAACCGAGGCCAGTCCGAGGAAGTGGCCTTCAGGGGAGGGGGGGGGAGGGGGCCTGCGAGGCCGCGAGGTCTCCGGGGAAAGGAACGGCAGCCCAGGGGCCGGCGAGGGGGTTACCAGAGGGGCCATGGTCTTCCGCCAGGGACAGGACAGGATTATCAATGCCCAGCTTTGGGTTAAACTCAAACTTCCTGCAAGGAGACCCCGACGCCACTGGAGATGCTCCTGTCAGCTGAGGGGTACCCCCCAGCCCCTCCCGCCCTTGCCCAGCCCCTCCCAGGGCACCACTTACAGGGCGACGGGAGCCGCCTCCTGGAGACCTGCTGGGCGAAAGGGGCGAGGGGGAGAGGCGCATTCCTCACCCCTTCCGCCCTCGCTAACTGAAAGGGCGGAGGGGAACCCCTAACTCAGAACACGACCCTCCATTCTGCTCCAAAAGGGGCTTTCCTGCCCCTCCCTCCCCGCCCCTCCCCCCAGGCCAGGGCACAGCCCTCCGAGCCGTCGGCACAGGGTGTGGCCCAGGACGGTAGCGGCATCCAGGCGCTCTCCCCCCACCTCCAGGCTGCGTCCCGGGGCTCCAGGCCCCAACACTGTGCGCCCTGGTCCCCAGGCCTCAGCCCCCGGCCACCCCTGGCTGCTGAGGTCTCCTCCGGGGGCTCCTCCAGCTCCTACCTGCAGCTGCCTCCATAGCTGGATCAACAACCTGGCACTCAGAGTGGGGACAAGGTCCATGGAGATCAGCTGACCTTCCCTCTGACCCCCCAGTCCCGCCTCCTTGAAGACGCCGCTCGGAAGCAGCGGGGTATGTCAGGGGGAGTCTTGTCCCTGGGGAAGCACGCGCGCGCCTCTCGCACCTGTGCCTGTCCCCCACCCCTACCCACATCCTAAGGGGTCCCCGGCCCTCATTGCCTTTGAACCTAGGACCGCAGGACGCGCACAGAGCCCTGCGCGGGAAGCCCAGGCGGAGGCGCGGTGGGAGCGTTTAATAGCAGGGAGGCCGCCGCTGGGAAGGACCCTGAGCGCAGGGCCCCTGTGGGGAGAGGAGCGCGGGGCTGTGGCGCAGCACCCACGGGAGAGGAAGGGGCTGCGGGGACCCTGGGCGTCCTCACAAGGCACGAAGGCAAGGGTGGAGCCCCCCAGCACATCTGGACAGCACCCCTGACAGGGCAGACAGCAGAAGTGTGCCCCCTGGTGGCAGAGGCTCCTCGGGAGGAGAGAGGGGCCAGGTAAGCGGTGGTGTCACAGGGCAATTCAGCCACGGAAATGCCACGTCCTCATCCTTCCGCCCCTTGGCGAGGAGGCGTGCCTCGTGGCCCTGGACACTCCGACGTGGGCGGACGGGCTGGACAAGCTCCCGGAGGGCGCGGGACGGCTGGGCCAGTCCTTGCCTTCAGCCGCGCAG